GTTTAACAAAGTATACGTACTATTTTACACCAGTAATGTCTGAGGGTTCCCATATATCCACAGCCTTGACAACACTTGTTACTGTCTATTTTATTATAGCCATCCTAGTGGCTGTGATGTGGTATCTTGTTGTGGTTTTGATTTTTGTTTCTCTGATGACTAATGATGGTGAACATGTTTTTGTCTGCTTATTGGCCATTTGCATATATCTTCTTAGGAGTGGTTACTCATTTATAGTATGGAAAATGCTTCAGATGCAACTCTAGTCATGCCTTAGAGATGGAGCTTTATTAAACATTCAGATCTGTAGGCATATGAGGTGCTGAGTTCTCCTGAACTGCTCATACAGATTGCGCTGAGTTTAGTGATACCTTTTCTGGAGCATTCCTGAGTTCAGGTAGAGGAAAGGGTTTTGGCTGTGATTGACTCGTTATGTTCTTTCTAAATGGAAATGGAATTGAAGTGTCTCCTCTATCCATTTACTGGAAGGGTCATGAGGGACATGGTTACATGATCCCTGGGAGCCTACAGCTTAGGTCAGTCGTTCTCTACTTAGGCTGCACATTGGAATCACCTGAGAGGTAAAATCAAAAACCAGGACACCCTATGCCTTTGTCTCATCTCCAGCAATTCTGATGTGATTGGTCGGGGCTGTGGCCTGGGTAGCCTGCGTCTCATCTCCAGCAATTCTGATGTGATTGGTCAGGGCTGTGGCCTGGGTAGCCTGTGTCTCATCTCCAGCAATTCTGATGTGATTGGTTAGGGCTGTGGCCTGGGCAGCCTGCGTCTCATCTCCAGCAATTCTGAGATGATTGGTCGGGAGCTGTGGCTGGGCAGCTGGAGTTGTGGTTTTTAATGGAACCAGGTGATTCTGATATGCTATCAAATTGAAATCCACCCAGAGCCCTTGGGCTGTGGCCTGGGCAGCCTGGGTTGTGGTTTTTTAATGGAACCAGGTGATTCTGATGTGCTGTCCAGGTTGAGAATCACTTTAGGCCCTTTCCAGCTCTTTAAACACATGTATTTATCTAGGAAGGTGTGAAAGCATAAGTTTTCTTGAGACTGCCTTTAACATCTATAAAGAATTTCAAAGCAGCTTCCAAAACTTGTTTTAATGGCTGATTATTATTCAACAGGCAGCATTTGGGTTATAAAATTAGCTTTTGGTAGAGTTGACTTATACCACCTGCAGCTTTTGCTCTCAAAAATAAATAGTGGTTCTTTTGGCACACTAGTTGTTTTAGCCTAAAGTTCTTCTTTGTAAGGCAGTTATTAAAAGTTGTGATGCAGCCAGGGCAAAGTGGCACACACCTGTAGTCCCAGCTACTCGAAAGGCTGAGGCGGGGGGATCGCTAGAGCCCAAGAAGTCAAGGCTGCAGTGAGCTGTGATGACAGCACCGCACGGCAGCCTGGGTCACAGAGCGAGACTCGTCTCTTTAAAAACAGAGAATGCTGTGATGAAAGGTGGTGCTCGCCTCTCCCACACCCTTTTACAGTTTAGGGATTGTATTTCCAAGGCTTCTGGACTGAGAACCCTTATCTTTTCAACTTTGCTCATTGACACTCTATCCCCATTCATCCTCCTGATTAGCTGCCCTGCGATGGACACATGAGTAGTCATGGTGCAGGTCTCAGAACTGTCTTTCAGGCTCCAGGTGATCAATCAAAGCTCTTGTCTGTAGTGTCAACTCATTGCTGCTGCCCTTCCTAGTAATCCCCACAATTTAGCTCTCCATCTCATAGACTTTCCTTGGGTGTGTGAACACTGACCATGGCACACTCAGCATGGATGGAATGAAACAGTGTTTAGAAACATTGATCTTCTCTTTTTAAATGCCCTGTAGTCTCTCTGTATATGTCACATTTTTTAACTAACAGCTTGCTGGTGAAAAGGACCCCACCAAGTCTTGGCTATAGGCCAGACTCTAAGGGAATTACTTTTTGTCACTCATTTAACCATCTTTAACTTAAAAGAGTTGTATGTGAAATGGCTTATAATTGCTTAGAGAGTATTTGTAGAGAGGCGCATTTGCCAGTGTTAGATTGAAAAGTGATGTTTTCTGTATCTAAATGATGACTTATGATTCTTTCAGTTGTTGGATTTGAAATTCACACCAGTTTGTTGTAGGATATGCCCTTGACTCTAATGAAGACTTCAGGAATTTGAATGTAATTGCTTCTTTTTCTTATTCGTTTTTCAAAACCCACTGAAAAATTTAGGAAACAGAATTGTTTTCTAGTTCCAGCACCTCATAATTTGAACAGACTGATGATTCCCATTAGTCACATAAAGCTGTAGTCTAGTACTGACGTCCTTAGTCTAGTACTGGAACCTGGCCAGGCCAGGGTGACACTTCTTGTTGACTGAAATAGTTGAACAGCTTTAATATATAATAACTTTTGCATTATTATTTCAGATGATAAATCTGGTCATAAGAAAGAAATAAATGAACTGGGCATGCTGGCTTACACCTGTAATCCCAGCACTTTGGGAGTCTGAGTTGGGCGAATCACAATGTCAGGAGATCAAGACCATTCTGGCTAACACAGTGAAACCCCATCTCTACTGAAAATACAAAAATTTAGCCAGGAGTGTTGGCGGGTGCCTGTAGTCCCAGCTACTTGGGAGACTGAGGCAGGAGAATGACGTGATCCCGGGAGGCAGAGGCTGCAGTGAGCCAAGATTGCGCTGCTGCACTCCAGCCTGGGTGACAGCGCACGACTGTGTCTCAAAAACACAAAGAAACAAAAGAAACAAAACCCAAAAAGCTACATATTAAGACAAGAAACAAATTAAACTAATGGTACAGACTACTGTTTGTTTTCAGAAGATACCCTCCCCAAAAGTTATTGGTCTAAAATACAGTAGTACTATCTCTGTTTAGTAAGGACCCTGGCAATATAACAGTGTTCTTATATGCAAAATGCTGTTCTTGCCTTTCATTTCGGAATATACTTTTTAAATGTGAATGTCTGGGTTTTCATTTTATAGCATGTTTGTGTCATTAGTGAAACTGGAAAAGCAAAATACAAAACAAGCCTCAGTTGAGAGTTCAAGTTGAGTCTGGAAACACCTGGAGTCCTATGGATATCGCCAGTAAAATTATGTCTGTCTCTTTAAAAGAAACTATGTAGTTATCATTTCTCTACAAATTAACCTAGTATAGTTTTCTGTTGTTTCCATTTTCCTTGTTTGTTAAATTTTTAGTAACTATTCTAATTGCAATCTCAATGATTATGTGGTAGAATGGGTTGTTGGAGCTACAAAAATCCCTAGCTACTTCAGAGACATTACATTTTAGACACATGGGACACTTTATATTACATTTTACTATGCTATAATAACACGGCTTTCTTTTGGAATTCTGTTCAGTTTTTCAGAATGTAATCTTAGCTACATCTCAACAGATTGTTCTCAGATATGTCCTATTACCTTCTTTGTGTAATAAGTGCTTTATTGACCAAGAACAATGACACCACCACCTTTTGTTTTCTGGGAGCAGGAGGAAAGTTTTAAGCCAAAACTCTTAATTGCTTATCTGCTCCATGTGAGGTTTGAACTGGCAACCTTGTGAGTCATCTAGCTTACACACATTCCTTAAAAAGTTTGCTGTAGGCCCAGCACAGTGGCTCATACCGGTAGTCCCAGTGCTAGTTAACAAAGTGCTAGCAGCCCTCACTCTGGGCGCTTCCTCGGCCTCAGCGTCCACTCTGGAGGCGCTTGAGGAGCCCTTCAGCCCACCAGGGCACTGTGGGAGCCCCTCTCTGGGCTGGCTGAGGTCGGAGCCCCCTCCCTCTGCTTGCTGGGAGGTGTGGAGGGAGAGGCGCGGGCGGGACCGGGGCTGCTGGCTGGGCTCCGGGGCCAGTGTGAGTTCTGGCTGGTGCTTGCGCGGGCTCTGAGGGCCCCGCACACGCAGCGGCCGACCGGTACTGCCAGCCCAGGGCAGTGAGAGGCTTAGCACCCGGGCCAGCAGCTGCGGCGGTTGTGCCGGGTCCCCCAGCAGTGCTGCACTGCTGGGGCTGCACTCAAATTCTCCCCGGGTTTGGCTGCCTCCCGGCCAGGCAGGGCTGGAGCCCTGCAGCCCGCAGTGTCTGAGCTCCTCCCCCTGCAGTGGGACCCTTCGCGGACCTGAGCCTCCTGGAGGGGTGCCGCCCCCTGCTCCGCCCGGGTCCCATCCACAGCCCAAGGGCTGAAGAGTGCAGGCTGAGGCTCAGGACTGTCGGGCAGCTCCGCCTGCAGCCCTGTTGCAGGATCCACTGGGTGAGGCCAGCTGGGTTCCTGAACTGGATGGGGACTTGGAGAACTTTTATATCTAGCGGGAGGGTCGTATGTGCCCCAATCAGCACTCTGTGTCTACCTCAGGGTTTGTGAATACACCAATGGGTACTCTGTATCTAGCTAACCTAGTGGAGACTTGGAGGACTAGCACTCTGTGACTCTATGTCTAGCTCAAGGTTTGTAAACGCAGGAATTGGTACTCTGTACCTAGCTAACTCTGTATCTAGCTAACTAGCACTCTGTGACTCTGTCCAGCTCAAGGATTGTAAGACTACCAATCAGCTCTCTTTAAAGTGGACCAATCAACTCTCTGTAAAATGGACCAGTCAGCAGAATGTGGGTGGGGTCAGATAAGGGAATAAAAGGAGGCTGCCGGAGGCAATCCCAGGAAATTCTCTTGGGTCTCTTTCCACAATGTGGAATCTTTGTTCTTTCACTCTTTGCAATACGTTTTGCTGCTGCTGACTCTGTGGGTGCACGCCAGCTTTAAGAGCTGTAACACTCACTAGGCAGATGTGCAGCTTAGTTCCTCACAGGGAGACCACCAACCCACCAGAAGGAAGAAGCTCCAGACACATCTGAAAGTCTGAAGAAACAAGCTCCAGACACCCCATTTTTAAGAACTGTAACACTCACCACGAGGGTCTGTGGCTTCATTCTTGAAGTAAGTGAGACCAAGAACCCACAAGTTCCAGACACATTTTGCTGTAGGCCAGGCACAGTGGCTCATACCAGTAGTCCTAGCACTTTTGGGAGGCCGGGGTTGGGGATCCCTTGAGTTCAGGAGTTTAAGACCAGCCTGGGCAACTTGCTGAAACATGGTGGTTGGTCCAAGGGAAGGGGGAATTTTTCTAAACCTGAGCTGTCCAAGCTCAGCATGAAGTGCAGTGGGCTGCTGAGTCAGGCTAGCAGAGGCAGCCAGGAACCCTGCAAATCTGCAATCCCTTCTGCCAGGTCTGTCCCAGCGAGTGTCACTAAAAGGCAGCCCTGTGTGCTTCTGTCACTGTGGCAGCCTTGACAAGGAAGGGAAGGAGACCCAGTGCTGAACTCCAAGCAGAGATGGGGCTTTTCTCTCTGCATATTTTCTCTCCCTTCCCAGCCTGCATTTGCAATAACACTGATTTATATTTGTATTATCAATCAAAAATGGTTGTAAGCAAGTGTTACACACAATGTTAACTCCTATTTACATTCCTAACTGAATAATGTCTAAAGAGGTACTTAAACTGACATAAAACACAGATGATCTTATGACCAAATGTTGACTGCAAGAAAAAACTTCAAATTCCAAGGAGTCCCTCCAAATATAGAAAGGACCAGTATTTTTAAGAGGTACGTTAACTAAAATGTGGGAATGTAGGAGCAGAGCAGGAAGAACCTTTAAGTCCAAAACTTACAAGAAGTCAATTTCATAGTGAGTTTCCTTGGTCCTTCCACAACAAGCTTTGGCATCTGTTTTCTCTACAATGGAGGTAATAACAGTAGTTATTTCAGGGCAGGAAAAGTCTTAGAGCTGTGCTGGAATATGATCTTGGCTATATAAAGTTTCACTATTTGTATATTGTAACAAACGTACAGTGTATTTTTTTATTGGTAGTCAATAACAGATTTCTTTTGGAAAAGTAGCAGCCTCCTGTCCCGGGAACACCTGCAGTTCCCACTAAGTGAACACTGGTGTCTGCTAACCTTTGCCTCTGTTTCTCTCAATAATATACTGTCAAGCTGTTCCTTGATTTAGCAGTTTTATTTACTTTCCTTTTCTTTTCCCGTTTCCATTTTCGAGAGAGAGTCCCTCTATGTCGCCCAATCTGGAGTGCAGCAGTACCATCATAGCTCCCTACCACCTAGACGGCTGGGCTCAAGCAATCCTCCTACATCAGCCTTCGGAGTAGGTGAGAATACCTGCACAGCCTACCGGGCCCAGCTAATCTTTGTGGTTTTTGTTTTGTTTTTCCATTCTGGGTTTCACCTGGTGCGGTGGCTCATGCCTGGAATCCTAGCACCCCGGGAGGCCGAGGCGGGCAGATCACCAGAGGTCGGGAGTTTGAGATCAACCAGACCAAATGGAGAAACCCTGTCTCCTCCAGAAAAATAAAAAATTAGAGAAGCATGGTGGCTCACACCTGCAATCCCAGCCACTTGGGAGGCTTAGGCAGGAGGATCACTTAAACACGGGAGGTGGAGGTTGCAGTGAGCCAAGATCATCCCATGGCACTCCAGCCTGGGCAACAAGACCGAAACTCCGTCTCAAAAAAACAAACAAACAAACAAAAGACAGGTTTCACCATGTTGCCCAGGCCGGCCTAGAACTCCCAGGCTCAAGTGATCCACCACACTTGGCAGTCCAAAGTCCTGGGATTACACTGTGAAGGTTCATTTTATGTGCCAACTTGACTGGGCCACAGGTGCTCAGATGAAACATTGTTTCTGGTGTGTTTGTGAGTGCTTCCAGATGACATTAGCCTTTGAGTCAGTGAATTCAGTAACGTAGATGGCCCCGTGGAGATGGGCATCATCCAACCCACTGAGGGCTTGAGTAGAACAAAAGGAGGAAGGGAGAATTCGCCCCTTTCTTTCTGCCTCTGTGCATGTGCTGGGACATCTCATCTCATCTTCTCCTCCCCTGGGACTGGGATGGACACCATCAGCTCTCCTGGTTCTCAGGCCTTCTGACTTGGACACAATTAAATCACCAGTTTTCCTGAGTCTTCCAGTTTCCAGATGACAGCTTCTTTGCCTTCATAATCATGTAAGCCACGACCCCATAATAAATCTCTATTTTTTAAATTATACTTTTTTTTTTTTTTTTTTTTGAGGCGGAGTCTCGCTCTGTTGCCCAGGCTGGAGTGCAGTGGCGCGATCTCGGCTCACTGCAAGCTCCACCTCCTAGGTCCACGCCATTCTCCCGCCTCAGCCTCCCGAGTAGCTGGGACTACAGGCGCCCGCCACCACGCCCAGCTAATTGTTTTGTATTTTTAGTAGAGACAGGGTTTCACCGTGTTAGCCAGGATGGTCTCAATCTCCTTACCTTGTGATCCGCCCGCCTCGGCCTCCCAAAGTCCTGGGATTACAGGTGTGAGCCACCGTGCCCGGCCTAAATTATACTTTTTAAGTTCTAGGGTACATGTGCACAACATGCAGGTTTGTTACGTATGTATACATGTGCCATGTTGGTGTGCTGCACCCATTAACTCGTCATTTACATTAGGTATATTTCCTAATGCTACCCCTCCCTGCTCCACTCACACCACAACAGGCCCCAGTGTGTGATGTTCCCCATCGTGTGTCCAGGTGTTCTCATTGTTCAATTCCCACCTATGAGTGAGACCATGCGGTGTTTGGTTTTCTGTCCTTGCGATGGTTTGCTCAGAATGATGGTTTCTAGCTTCATCCATGTCCCCACAAAGGACAGGAACTCATCCTTTTTTATGGCTGCATAGTATTCCATGGTTTGTATGTGCCACATTTTCTTAATCCAATCTATCATTGATGGACATTTGGGTTGGTTCCAAGTCTTTGCTATTGTGAATATTGCCGCATAAATCTTTTTAAGAAAATGTGGCATATATTCACCATGGAATACTATGAAGCTGTAAAAAGGAACAAAATCATGTCCTTTTCAGCAACATGGATGCAGTCGGAGGCCATGATCCTAAGGAAACTAACACAGAGACAGAATATCAAATACTGCATGTTCTCACTTATAAGTGAGAGCTAATCATTAAGTCCTAATTCTTAGAACCGGTAAATGTTACCTTATTTGGAAAAAGCATCTTTTCAGGTATGATTAAGTTAAGGATCTTGAGGGGAGATTATCCTGGTTTGTCTCAGTGGGCATTAAATACTGGAACATGCTTCCTTAGAGAGATAAAGGAGATTTAAGTTCAGACAGAAGAGAAGGAGGCCATGTGACCACGGAGGCAGAGACCAGAGTGGTGAAGCTGCAAGCCAATGAATGCCAGCAGCCACCAGAAGCTGGGAAAGTCAAAGGATGCATTTTGCCTTAAGCGCCTGAGAGCACTGGCTCTGCTGATACCTAGATTTCAGCCCAGTGGTACTGATTTTGCACTTCTGTTACCCAAAACTGTGAGAAAATAAATTTCTGTTGTTTTGAGTCACCAAATTTTTGGTAATTTGCTGTAACAGCCACGGGAATCTAATACACATGCCTACCTGGGTCCAGCTGTGTCCTGTGACTCCTGCTTTCCTGGGACAGGCTGGTTGCTCCATGCCTGCTGGCCACCCTCCTGGAACTGGACACTGCAGGTTGCTCTGTGCCTGCTGGCCATCCTCCTGGGTGCTGGACGCTGCAGGCTGCTCCATGCCTGTTGGCCATTCCCTTTGGTGCTGGACAGCACTCACATTGTGAAATGCACTGGCCGTGTGAAAAACACCTGCAAATGTTGCCAGGAGAGGAGTTAGTTCTTTTGTTGGCAACCCTTGTTTATTGCTTATGCCTTAAGCTCTGTGCCTCCAAGATCCCTTCTCTCTGCCTTCATCGATGCCAGGAAGGCAGTCACCTTTTGCCTTCCTTTGCCTCTCAGCAAGTGGCATATCTCCATGTCACTAAGCATCAAGCACACAGAGCCCAATAAGATGCTGAGAAGTGTCTGCCTGCTGTTACAAGGTGGTGGAGACATTCTGAGCCAGTAAATCCAGGGCTCAGGAAAACAGCTGCAGGAAACCTAAAGTTCAAAATGCTGAAGTGAAAAATGGGTAATGACAACAAAGGGAATCACAAGCCCCTTCTTTTAAAAATGTTACGGTGATAGTCCGGGCGCAGTGGCTCAGTCCTGTAATCCCAGGACTTTGGGAGGCCAAGGCAGGTGAATCAGGAGGTCAGGAGATCAAGACCATCCTGATGAACACGGTGAAACTCCATCTCTACTAAAAATACAAAAGAATTAGCACAGCATGGCGGCGGGTGCCTGTAGTTCCAGTTACTCGGGAGGCTGAGGCAGGAGAATGGCATGAAACTGGGTGGCGGAGCTTGCAGTGAGCGGAGATCATGCCACTGTACTCCAGCCTGGGTGAGAGAGCGAGACTCCGCCCCCACCCAAAAAAAAGTGCTGATAAGGCACAACATAAAATTTGCCGTATTAACCATTTGTAAGTATACAGTGCAGTAGTATTAATTATATACATGTTGTTGAATAACGAGTTGCTAGAACTTGCTGCTCTTGGAGAACTGAAACTATACCCACTACACAGCAACTCCCCATTTCTGTATCCCCTGGCTTCTGGAAACAAGCATTCGATTTTCTGTTTCTATGAGTTTGACTAATGTCTAACCTAATGTAAGACAAATCATACACTATTTGGTTTTGTGTGACTGGCTCATTTCAGTTAGTGTAATGTTTTCAAGGTTCATCTATGTTGTAGCATGTGACAGGACTTCTTTCTTTTTTAGGCTGATAATATTATAATATTCCATGGCATGGATAGACCACATTTGTTTATGTATTTATTTATTTATTTAGACAATCTCACTCTGTTGCCCAGGCTGGAGTGCAGTGGCATGATCATGGCTCACTACAGTCTGAACCTCCCATTCTCAAGCGATCCTGCTGCGTCAGTCTCCTGAGTAGCTGGGACTACAGGCACATGACACCATCCCTGGATATTCATTTTTCTGTGTAACTGGTTGAGAAACAGGGGTAACAGTAAAGAAACTGTCTTAGAATAATCTGGTGACAGCGGAAGAGAATATGAGACACATTGTCCTCACAGAGCCTTGAAGAGTGTGACAGTAGTTGAGGGCCACACTGTTGTCTTATAGTGAAGTGAGGAGAACACACACTGGTTTGGTAGTCCTGGGGATGGAACGAGGAATGAAATGTGAACCTCATTGGCGGCAGAATCAAAATGTCTTGGGTCTTTGTAGTCAACAATTAAATGAGAAGGAGGAATTATTGACTGACTTAGGAAGAAGTAAATACCAAGAAATACCAATAAAATACAAAGCTTGCAATTTTAGTCAGGGCAAAGATTAAGCATTGTGTGAATCTAGATAGATTATTGAGCAGTTTTGTTGCTTGTATTTTATATCCTGTATCTTCTAGGTATGAAGCTATTTCTTTAAACCTAAACATAGCCAAACATTTTTTAAACTAACAGCTTTATTGTCATACAGTTTTTATATGATAAGGCCCCCTTCAGGTGTACAGTTCAGTGGTTTTTAGTATATTCGGAGTTATGCAAACATTACCACTACCTAATTTCCAAACATTTTCATCTCCCTACAAAGAAACCCCATACCCATTAGCAGTCACTCCCTGTACCCGTCTCCCCCACCGTTGATCCCGGAAACCTCTGATCTAATTTCTATCTCTGTAGATTTGCCTATCCTGGACATTTCATATAAATGGAATCATATAAAATGTGCCATTTTCTGACTGGCTTTTCTTTACAGAGATTATAAATCAAATGCCAGAAGAGCCTAAGCTTAGGATAGTGTTTGCTGTACAACTTTGACAACTCAACTTTTTTTAAAGTTGAAAATCTGACTGTCTGTATATGTAGCATATTATCCTTAGGTGACCCTTCCTTTGATTATTAAGAATTTTTTCCCTAGTATTATTGAACTGTTTCAATATTCAGCAGGAACCCTTCAGAGACAAAGAGCAGTAGGAATTTGGAACACATATTGACAAAATAAATGTCACTTAATACAGTAGTAGAGTCGACCACTTTTAGGTGTCGATGCTGCTGAAAGTGTATATTGAGGAAAGGTTTACTTATCTTACTTTTTGTGGAGGTGCTAGAAGTACTTTTGTCTTGTGTTTATATTTTAAGAAACCTTTGCAGAGGTACTATGTGGTTGTACAAATGTACTTTCTTTTGACCTGAAAATGCAAAAACTTCCTGTCTTTCCACTTTCTGAGACTCTGCAACCTTAAAGGAAGAGTGGGATACATTAAAGGAAAGGTGGTGGTGGCTGGGTAATGGGTAGCAATGTCTACTATATACTTTCTTTCCCAAAACAAGTCCCTGTCTACTGTCAGCATTTCCAAAATGTGAAGATCAAGTGTGGTGTTAACTCACTAACTAATGACTAGACTTTGAGTGGTTGTGGAAGCAAAATCTCAGTGAGTGCCTGGAGGTTCTAATTCTGTTAAATCAGTGAGTGCACATTCTATACAAGATTCTCTTAGCCCAGTGGCAGATTTAAGGAGTGGGAGATAGATTTCTATGTTTCAGAAATCAAACACACAAAGAGTAAAAATTTTTAATCCCATGATTCTTTGCCCAAGTTTAATTTTCTGGAGAGTTTTTCTTTAGATTTTCTTTCCTTTCCATTAAACTGTTACTTTGGAATGTCTCAGGGTTTGGGAAAGCAAGTGGGAAAGACACTGGCTTGGATTCTCCAGGAGAAGGGAGTGAAGAGGACTTCTTTCCCTCATTTTGTTATTGAATCATGTCATGATAACAATTATTAAGGTGAATGAATGGTCTACAGTAGAAGTTTTTAAATGCCTTCTCTACAAAATAATTTGGTTTAGTCAATGCAAGGATGCCTTTGGTTAGCTGGAATGGAAGATGTGCCGGCTGGAGTGGTCTTGGCAATTCTTCCGGGGGGAAATTCAGCATTTGGAAGTGTAGGAAGCAGAAGGAATCTCAGGCAAGGGAAAGGCGTGGGCAGAGACCCGGAGGACAGAACAGGTTGTGGTGGACTTGGTGTCCACATAGACCTCATCAGTGGTCTTAGCTTTTGTGTTTTCAAAATTACCACAGTTTGTGTTCTAAAACTGTCATTCCCTTGATTTTATTTTAGGCATGCTATCTGTGTGTTTTCAAATTTAAAACAACAGTAAAGGAGAAATGAAATTATTTTGTTTGAGAAAAAGTTAAGGTTAAAACATCTTGATCTAAATAATTTTCTATGGGGAGATTTGATAAATCCCCAGAAGCTATCTTTCGTTCAGAGAACAGTCTTCAGACCTAGAAAGGACTTGAGGAGTCCCAGAGAGGAGCTGCATGGTCTGAACCATTTGATTCTCATGACAGAATGGGTAAAAACAATTTTAACCATGAAACCATGCAGATGTTCATATTCTGGATAGGGTAAGGTCAATGCCATTGTCAGAGGAAAAACTTTTTGGCCATCACAGGATAGGAGAGAAAGTTTGAGTTGTAAACAATACTCTAATGCCATTTAAGGGAATGGGTTTTTCTGCCCCTATTCTTTGGAATATTTAGGGTTAATTTCTTAGTTTTTGACATCACAAAAATTTCAAACTATTTTGTTCTAAGAGCCATTTCAAACGATGGACTACAATTTCAGAGCAATTACATGAGAGTAATACCAATAGAATTTTTAAGTTACCCATAGTCCTATATCCCTAACAATTATGTTCATGCTTGCATGTTCTCTTTTCATCTTTACTGTGTGCATACTTTCTTAGTAACGATGTGTAGACATTTTTTAAGCAGGAATAATTCTCGAGATAATTTTGTATGTTTCCTTTTTTCTTTATAAGGTGTGTATTGGGTGGGGGAGCATTATGTATGAAACTGCTCACAAAACAGGTGATTATTTTCTTATAATACCCAATTTTCACCCTCAATAGAGTGTTTTGATTATGTAAGTTAGATTGTGAGTAGAAATTTCTCTTAAGGAAATTTTAGTTTTTTTGGTTTTTTTTTTTTCATAATCCCTATTTTCAAGGATGAAAAAGGTAAACCAGTAAAATGAGATTGTACTTGGTGCTGAATCTATGCCAGGATAGGCATTAAGAGTGACCTTTATTTAAGGTTCTAATTTGCTCATGTTGGGCACTTAGAAAATTGGTTTGTTGCTTTTTGTGAGATTCTAGAAATGTTCCAATTTTACTTTTCCCCCTTGACTCCGGACTTTTTAACACCAATCTGCTGCTGTGGAGGCATATGCCATTTTGTTAGGCCTTCTCAAGTGGGAATCAGGAATGCTGCTGTGTTCTAGAGATGTTTTGTTCTTCCTATAGGGATGAAGCAGTGCCTACTCGATAATTGGTCATTGTTCAAAGAAATGCCTCCTGACTCAAAGGCAAAGCCAGAGTGCAGCTTGGAGCAAAGAAGGTACTTTTATTAAGAATTTTAATAAACCATAAGATATATTTCGTATTACTTTGTGAGCCTTCTTCCTGTCTTGATTTAATTCTTTTTGAGAGAATTCATTTCATTTTCATTTGGTTTGTTTTCTTCTTGTTGCAAAGATGATCTATAGAAAATACAGAAGTATAAGAAAATTTGAAGATACTAACTGATAATCACTTAATGATTTAGTACCTGCTTGTTTAGTCTTTGTTATATTTACTGAAGACAAACATGGCTACAGTTGTAAATTATTATTGGTATGTATACCCTAGTAAGTTAAAAGTTATATGTACTTTGAAGTTTTGCAAAATTGGGTTCATATTAGGAATTAATTCCTGATGAACTTTTACGTGCTAGGCACTAGTCTTTTTATTTATGGATTGATTTTTACTTTTTTTTCCCTTCTGTGCCTATGCTTACCAAGCCTTTTTAATTTTTACTTTTTATTAATTCTTTCAATCCTCTTAATAACTTAAAAAGAGGGTATTACTAATATCTGCATTTTGTAGATGAGGTAACTGAAGGTGGGTAACTTATCCAAGGTCACAGGTGGCAAAGCAAGGATTAAAACCAGACAGTCTGGCTGCCCAAGGCCCAACCGAGAGGAGCTGAGAGCACGCCATGGGGCAGAAGGATGTTGTTCAGGCCGGTTTTCTGTTCAGCTAACATGAAATGCAGGCTGTAACCTTAATTCTAGGACATTACCGAGAAAGCCTTCCAAAGCCATAGCTTTTTTACCATGACCATGACTTTTAGCAAGAATTTTTGGTTTAAAGGCCACATGGTGCTCTAAGAACCTTCTGTTCACTTTTACGGAGGGACTGATTGTTGAGCTAAATAGAAATGCTGGAGCACACAGCCTTTAGGGCAGCTTTGGACCTATTTCTGTGGTCAGGAAAGACACCTGTCTTTCCCTGCTGCCCACAGCCTCCAGTTATTCACCTTCAGAATCTCCTAGTCTGTGATCACATTCAGATGAAAGATCTGTTTTGTTTTTTCCAGGGTAGGAGGAAGGGAGTCACCAACAATACTAAGCAGTCTCGTCTTCTGTGTATAAATGAGCAAAGTTAGGGAGCCAAATTTGAAAACCTTGTGTAATCCTGAGATTTTCCAAGAGAATCTAAGAGAATGTCAGCATTATGCATGGTGGTGAAGTGGTCTTATATTAGTTGTATCCACAGCTCTCATCAAAAGCAGACACTGATACTTTTTGAGGGAAGTTTTCTCTAACTGAAGCCTATAGGTTGCCAAAGATTAAAAGCAGGCAACTATGAATTCAGATAAATCATAACATTCAAGTAGTCAACCCAACATGTTTGAGAATTGTTAAAAAGAATGAATAACATATTTCCCAAAGACTGTAGTTTTTGGAATTATCAGATACAGAACACAAACTTCAAATATTAAAATTGTGGGAAAATAGTTACATGTGAAATCTAATGTGTGTTTAAAATATATATAAATTCATTCATAAAATTGAGCAAGCAGTAAGACCACCAGAAATGATGAGGAAGACCTGAAAGGAAAATGTATGAAATAGAACTTACAGAAATAAAATACATAGCCTGGTATGGTGACACACACACCTGAAATCCCAGCACTTTTTGGGAGGCTGAGGTGGGAGGATAGCATGAACCCAGGAGTTGGAGACAAGCCTGGGCAACATGCTAAGAACTCATTTCTACCAAAAATACCCCACCACCACCACCAAAAAAAAAAAAAAAAATTAGCTGGGTATGGGGCACCTGCCTATAATCCCAGCTACTCAGGAGACTGAGGTGGGAGGATCACTTGAGCCCAGGAGGTCAAGGCTGCAGGTTCGTGCCACTGCACTCTATCCTGGGTGACAGAGTGAGACTCTCTCTCTGAATAAAATAAAATAAAAAATGTAATCGTTGAAATAAGAGACTCAGTGGATGGATTAGACACGAGAAGAAAGAATTAATCGGTTAGATGATTCTCTGCAAAAAGTAAGTCAGCGTGTTAGAGAGACATGAGGATAGATGATAGGGTAGAAGTTGGTGGACTTGGCGGGGACAGGGAGATCAGAATGAGGTCTAAAATATGTCTTAGTGAAATCCCTGGAGGACGTATTAAAATATTAGAAAGTGAGAGAAATAGAAGTTCCTTGTTTTGTTTTGTTTGTTTGTTTCTTTGTTTTTGTTTTGAGACAGAGTCTCGTTCTATAGCCCAGGCTAGAGTGCAGTGGAATGATCTCGGCTTACTGCAAGCTCTGCCTCCTGGGTTCACGCCATTCTGCTGCCTCATCCTCTCAAGTAGCTGGGACTACAGGCACCCACTACCATGCCCAGCTAATTGTACTTTTAGTAGAGATGGGTTTTCACCATGTTAGCCAGGATGGTGTCAATCTCCTGACCTCCTGATCCGCCTGCCTCAGGCTCCCAAAGTGCTGGAATTACAGGCATGCAACACCGCACCCAGCCCAAAAGCTTTGGTTTTTACAGATATTAAACATGATTTTTAAGACAAAAAACAATCTTAACAATAACTTAGGAGAATAAGAGAAACATTTTTCCAAAAATGAGAAACCATTGTGATTATTTTTTCTTATTGGAATGTTGAATAGTATAGTCTGCTTCATTAATCATCAAGCATGCTATGGATTTTCCATTTTTATATGATCTGTATCTCAGTTAACGTAATACTGGTAATTTTTGTACTGTATGAAAAATATAGGCCAAAATCATAGACCTTGAATAGAAGCTGGGTCATGAAGATAGCTCTGGAGAAACACATAGATACACAAAAACTGAAAAACACACATATAAAGTATACACACATATATTTTTTAAAGTTTTAAAGCTTTTAAAGGAAAAGCCAGCCCCTCACCTCTCCCAGAGTGGGTGGCCTCTGCCCCGTCTTAGACTGGGTGGGGACAGCAGTTGCATGGGCAGCTTTCCTTGTGAGCCACAGGGCCCTCTGGCCATGCTACTGTCTGGCCACACCCCCTTTCCCTTTCATCTTTCTCATTGACCAATGGGCTTGGAGCATTAAGGCCACACCCCTATTCTGCATTCTACTGGGGCCCTGGTTACGCCTCCTCTGGCTCAGTCACACAGCAACCTGGTCGGTGACTGGAGGTGTTGATCAGTGCTCGCTGGGATTTTGCTGATGTGGCCCCAACCCCGCCTCCCTCCCCACCCTGCGATGGCAGAAGAAACTCGAGAGAGCAAATTGGCAGCAGCCAAGAAAAAGGTAAAAACACACTAGGTCATGGCCCCCCAACCCAGTCACAGATCCCCTCCGATGACGACTCCTGCCATTGTCCATACCACTTCTGAGGCACACCAGACTGGGTCCCCCACCCCAGTGCCTCTGGGCTACCCCCACCAAAGTTTTGTCAGTCAGCCCCACCCCTTCAGCAAGCAGCCCTGTCCCTGCCCTCGGCAGTCACCCCAGGGTAACTTTGGGCGGGTGACTCCTGGGGCTCCCCACTCCATTCATGGGCCCTCATCTCCTGCCGCCCCAAGTTTGACCTCCCTTGGCTCTTTGGGCTCACGTCTCCAAGAACCTGGGTTCCCCCAGCCCCAGGCCCCACCCTTGCCAGTCATCCCTGGGTGACTTTGGGACTATGGGACTTTGGGATGCTGCTGTCTCCTGGGGCTCCCTGCTGCGGACTCTGCCCTCCACTCCTGCTACCTCAAGGTCGCCCTCCCTGGGCTCTTTGCACTGGCATCTCCAAGGACCTGGGTCCCAACCCTGTTTTTCCCTCCCCCATTGTGGAGCAGTGACTCAGACACGCTACTGATGTGGTCCCTCCCCCCGACCTGGAGGAGTGGAATGTAGTGATGTCACAATCCACCTAGGAACTGTCATTACTGGAAGACCGGCCTTTGATCTTATGACCCAGTCCCCTAAGCGTTCTCACCCCATTTCTGGTTCCTCTGGTCACAGCGCAAATTTCCAGCTGGAAGGGGAATAGAGACTGTGGGACCTAGGAGGAAGAGGTTCCAGGCTGCCTCACTCCCTTAACATCGACATTGACAGGGGGAAAAGCCTACACTTCCCCCGTGAGCGCAAAACATTGACAGTATCTCTGGGTGGCAATGGGAGAATGGGTTTGGTTTTGTTCTCTCCCAGGTTTCTACTTTCCAGAGAGATTTTAACATTTTTTTCTGAGTTCTCCACCTCATATTCTAATTCTCCATGGTTCTGGGACCAGACTGCCCTTCAGTCAGTATTCTCTGAAGTGAGATTTGCTCATCTTCTGAGGAATAGATCTTGGGGAACTGAATTTGACAGCTTGAATCTTCCTCATATTATCTCAACCTGCGGTACTTTGAGTGCCACGGGATAAATATGGGACATCTTTCTGAAGCGTCAGGTTCCCTTGATTCTCTTGGGATCAAGAGAAAAAACATTAATGTACTTAGGGATGACAGTCACATAGGTTTCTAAGAGTATACCAGACTTCTCTCTGAAATGAGGTTTGGGTTGTCCTCTTTCTGATAAATTCCCAGATTTCACAGAAAGGCTGCCTTCTGCCACGAGGACACATTGATATAAAAGTTTGAGAGGTACGGGTGCACTTCCTGACACTAACAGATGTGTGAGGATGTATGACTCTAAACCATGCAGTTCCTGCCTACCTAATGTTTACTTTTCTACCTCTGCCTCTGGTTTTGGTCCCTGGCAGTTGCTGATTCTTGGTAAAACCCCAGAGCTTGGAGTCAGAAGACTGAGTTTCAAAGTTCCAGTTTTGCCTTTTTCTTTTCTTCTTCTTTTTTTTTTTTTTTTCCTATCCATATCAAGCCCTCTCAGTCACTAAATGATTGTGACAACACCTTGTACAGTTGTTGGCGTCATTAAATCAGATGGTGTATAGAGTATTTTGTAAAAACTGTAAGGAGGATGTGGCTGTAGGGGCTGATGGTTCCCATGAGTATTACTGCTCTTCTTTCCCACAGTTAAAAGGATATTGGCAGAGAAACAGCCCTGGTTGTCCAACAGGAGCGAAGAAGAACGGGAAAACAAATGGCAGTGTCCCTGAGACAGCCACTTCTGGTGGTTGCCACTCACCTGGGGATGTGAGTCTTGGCTGACCAGGCTCCTGGGGACAAGGGGCGCAAGGGGCAGTAGAGGGTAATTGTTAAGATTGTGGATGGACTGCTGGGTACTGGTTCAGAATTCTGGGTTTGAATCCTGCCTCTCCGTCTGCTAGGGATATGATTTAGGGCAAGTTGCTTGAGCTCTTTGGGCCTCTCTTTGCACATCTGTATAATAGAAGTGGTATTGTTTGACTTCCATTTGTGAGGTTTAAATGAGATTTGTTACTGTTGTTTTTATGTTAATCCCTAGTACATGGCCTGCGGTAAACACCCAGGACACCCAGGATATGGTCATTGCTGTTCGATTTTCCTCATCCCCAGTCTCAAGGGGAAGCCAGGACAATGAGAACAGCCACTTGTCATCAGGATTCACTGAAAGGGACCCAGGGTGGGATGGTGGGGAGATAAAAAGCATGGGAGAAGTTGGCACAAAGGAGTTATGGGAAAAAGGGTTCAAGATTGGCAGAAAATGAAATGTTGCCAGTTGATGGGGAAGAAAGGAAGTCAGAAGGCTCTGACACTGAGGGGGACAGAACATCTCCACGTGCACTCTCATCTCTTGTAGTCAGCAACGGGTATCGACGGAGAGGTCCCTACGTCATCTGCACCCCTCAAGGATCTGGAGGTAAGAGGCTCTGGGCGGAGGTGCAGTGACCCTGCAGGCCAATCCTCCAACCTCCTCCCACAGCAGGGAGTGGGTGCCCCTCTGCCAGCTGAGAGAGCCCACACACACCCCAGCCCTAATGATTGTTCTCTCTACCTCTCCACGACTCCTCCTCCACCTCCTCCTCTCTGCATGTGCCTCAGAGCCTGTGCCAGGAACTACCAGCAGCCCTGGACTCGAGGTCCGTCAAAATCAGTCAACTGAAGAACACCATCAAATCCTTGGTAAGAGTCCAGTGGGGTCCCCTGATTCCACGCTGCCAATCCTGGGCTCCAGTTTTCCCTTGGGGCCCTGAAGAAAGGGGCTGGGGGCCCTGGTGCCAAGGACAAATAGGGAGCTGGGGTGCCCAGGCCTCACATGGAGGGACCCCAGAGCACGCAGCATGGCTCTTCTTTTGCAGCCCTCTTTGCCGACTGTCTCCTCTCCACACACCCCTGCTCCAGTCCTTGCTACACACGCCCTGGGGTCATTGCCTCTCGGGGAAGTGCTAGCCTGACTGGTTGTCAGGGGCCCCGTATTTCTGCTGTGACTCAGTCCCTAATTTGTTCTTTGATTCTGGACAAGCCGCCTCTGCTTTCTGGACTCGGGTTTCAGAGGAGGTAGTGAGTATCAAAGGTGTCTGTTAGCTCTGAGAGTCCGAGATTTAAAGGCCGCCTAGAATGGGAACCTCAGGGCCAAGGGCTCCTGACTGTCCTTTTCTTGCCTATATCTGCTGTGAAGAACCGTACCTGGCCCATAGGTGCTCAGTGAATGTTTATTGAATGAACACACTTTTCTAAATGACAAGCTGGCAGAAGAGGGGGCCTTTCTCAAACTGCATCTCTAGAGGTTTATGTTCTTGTCCTCTCAAGAGATTCCAGATTCAGACTTTGAGTTCTGTGGCTGTGGGCAAAAACCAACAAAGACCCGAATTCTCTGTCCTTGGGCGCTTGAGGAGAGTTGACCAGTTCGTGTTCCCACTGAGTCTGAGAACTCTGCCTTTAAAATCCATTCCTGGCCCCACCTACCGCTTCCTGGTGTGGGGAATAGAGTTGAGGGGCCACCCTCCATCACCTTAATTTGACTCTCCCCACAGAAACAACAGAAGAAACAAGTGGAACATCAGCTGGAAGAAGTAACGTGATTTCTTTGTTTCCTCGCGACATGACTGCTGGGTTTGGGGGGCTCTCAGATGTAGAAGCCCCAGTCTCCTCTCCCCTACTCCCAACCTGGGGAAGAAGGCTCACCCCTCAGATTCCACCCCATCCCCACAGGGTCCCTGATAACCTGATCCCATGGGTGGGCCTGTCCTGGGGCATCGGTGGCTTTCTGGGGGCATGTCTCTTGCTGTGCCATCTCTACCTCCCCCTGGTAAGAGCTCTGTCTTCCTCTTCCTATAGGAAAAGAAAGCAAACAACGAGAAACAGAAAACTGAAAGGGAGCTAGAGGTGAGTGGAGGGTATGAGGTTTTCTCCTGTCCTCCACGGAATGCTTCTTTCCTTCTCTTTCAGCACTTGCTTGGCTTTTCTCCCAAAGGTTCAAATCCAGAGACTGAACATACAGAAAGGGAAACTAAGTACGGACCTGTATCACACGAAACGTTCTCTCAGATACTTTGAAGGTGGGAATCTGGGCACCCTGTCATCCTTCAGCCTGGCACTTTGACAGGTCTTTAGCGGGAGTCCTTTGGGCCCCATCTCAACTCTCTCATTACAGAGGAGTTCAAGGATCTGGCCGACCGCCTGCAATGTTCATTGCAGCGTACAGGAGAGTTAGAGCAGGTGCTCTGTGCTGTCACTGCCACACAGAAGAAGAAGGCGAACCTGGTGAGTCCAACCACCTGCCCCGTCCCCTGGGAGCCCGGCTTCGCAGATAGAGGAGTGAGCCTAAGGGTCCCTTCTGCAGGATGGAGTGTCCTGCCCAGGAGGCAGCATGGCCATGTCTCGCTGCTTTTGTGTGTGGTTGTTAGAGGCAGCCTGGGGCTGAGTCAGCTGCTGTGGATGAGTTGGGGGGGCGCAGTGGGGGGTGAGCACTGGATGCAGAGCTTGGAGGCCAAGTGCCTGCCCTGCCCTTACCTGGCTGTGGTCTTGGCCAAGTCCTAGGTGGGGTATTGGGTACTTGTTCTGTGAAGGTACAGAAGATTACCTTTAGTATGATACCATTTCTGTAGAGAGAGGAAACGTGTGTGTGTGTGCGCACATATTATGATAGTATACGTAAAACATGTCTGCAACCGTTCAAAAAAACTCGGGAGAGAGCAACAGGGTGGCTGGGAGATACTTCCCTTCTGTACCTTCTGAGTTTTGGACTATGTGAATGTATCATCCTTTCAAAAAGTGAACGAAAGATTAATTTTCCCCTTCCTATCTGTACCCCCATCCCCAGCAAGAAAAATGGGCTTAGAGTATCAGATAGACCTGGGTGTTCAAATCCCAGCTCTGCCTACGTGGTGTTAGCCAAGCATTTAACCTCAAATACTCCATCTCCATGTTTTTTCATCGACACAATAGAGGTCATCATAGTAACTGTCTCCTATGGTGGTTGTGAGGAGTAAATGGGATTGCTAGCATGGTGCCTGGTGAAGCACTCCATAAAGGTTCAGACAGTGGTAGTAATAACAGTAATAACAATAGCAATATTAACTGATCTCTCTGGGCCTCTGTTAGGCAGCTGTAAATTCCATCTCTTTCCCTGTCCCTTCCAACTTTACTGAGTTCTGTTAAAAACCACACCATGGGCTTGGAAGTGCCTCGATGTTTACTGACCGAGTTGTATATTGAGCCTAGCCCTAGCTCTTTTAAGGGGCACTGTGTGGAATGGCCCAGGCTCCCCAGATTGAAACTTCTCACTCTTCACCATCCAGTCCTCGAGCCACAGGAAAGCATATATGGAGTGGAAGTTAGAGCGGTCCACACGGGAGCAGGCAATTCTGAAAGCACAGCTGACACAGGTGAGGTTTTGCAGAGGGAGGGAGGGAAGGAAGATGACCCCAGGTGGCCAGGAGCAGGTGAGGACCAGTGACAGCCCTTCCTAACTTCTGTGCCCATTCTTGCAGTTGAAGGAGTCGCTCAAACAAGCCCATCTAGAGCGGGGCGAATATGTGCAACATCTGAAAGGAGAGAGGGCTCGGTGGCAGCAGAGGATGAAGAAAATGTCGCAGGAGGTGAGATCTGACCCTTCAGCCCCCTGACCTTAGATGGGTCACGGAATCTTTCTGGGCATCTGTAAAATGGGAACAGTACAGCCAGAGGTGGTCATGGGTCTGGGCTTTGTGGAGGTGGGGGCAGAGAGGGAGATGGCAGCCACCAGCCACCAGCCCCTCTCTCCAGGGCCCTTTCCCCCTGTGCTTTGGGCAGGTTTTCACCTTGAAGAAGGAGAAGAAGGGTGACATGCGTCGGCTAGAGAAGCTGGAGAGGAGCTTCTCCAAACTGAAGAACCGGATGGGTGAGATGGGGCTGGCGTGACCTGGGAGCAGGCCTGGCATCAGAGGGCTGTGAGGGGGGCTTAGAATGCCCCAGGGAGGTGGGTGGATGGAAGGGCTTTGAGGCAGAAGGAAAGAGGTCTGTGCCAGGAGACGGCAAGTCTTGTCATCTCCATGAGCCTCAGTGTCCCCATCAGCACAGAGGGCCCATTGTCAGCCACCCACAGTGCTCTGTATTGAAAGTGGTTGGAAGATTGGCTACCATCCGGGTGCGAGGAATCATTAGCAGTGCGGCCAAGTTTGGGGAGCCTGAGAGGAGCTGTGCACCAAGAGGAGGGGTTTTGTTGTTGGTTTTTGGTTTTGGAGAATACAGAGGCCCTTATTGACCGCTTCCTTTCTCAGCTGAACCCCTGCCCCCGGATCCCCCAGCAGTGTCCCCTGAGGTGGAGCTGCAGCACCTGAGGAAGGAACTAGAAAGAGTGTCAGCAGAGCTCCAGGCCCAGGTGCAAAACCATCAGCACGTAAGTCTCCTGAACCAGGCACAAAAGGAGAGGCTTCGGGAGCAGGAGGAGAGGCTTCAGCAGCTGCCGAGCCACAGAGCGGCTTCGAGGAGCTGGTGCATTGCCCCACCTGGGGAGCCTGCCCTCCTCCCTGGCCCTCCAGGCCTTTGTTTCCCCACCTGTAAAATGGGGCAACATAGCCCTCATGTGAAATGTTACTTCTAAAGGCACCTGTGAGCCAGAGCCCTGCTCTGGTGGCTGTGGGAGAGAGGGGATGATTTTTCTAACCTGCCTCCACCCTTCCCTGTGCCGTGGGAGGCAGACACCAAGTTCTGGGGTCTCCAGTTTCAGTGGGTGGCTGCTGATTGCTTCTCTCTGTCCAGAACAACAAGAGCAAGAGCGCACTGCAATTGGAGCAGCAAATAGAGGAGCTACAGGAGAAGCTGGACGAGGTGAAGGAGACGGTAACCTCCGCCCCATCCAAGAAGGGCTGGGAGGCGGGCACCAGCCTCTGGGGATGGGAGGTGCCAGGCCAGAAGCAGCTCCAGCCTGGGGGAGGTGACCCCACCACCCTCCAGGGCAGTCCTGAGACTGTTTCTTGCTTCCTGCCCTCTGACTTTTAGAGGTGGGTAGCCCTGGGCTCCCTCAGGTCTGGACACCATCATCCCAGCTAGAGGCATAGAGCCCCCCAATCATAGGGGAAGAGATAGTGGGATAAGAGGCTCCTTATGCCAGGCACGGTGGCTCACGCCTATAATCCCAGCACTTTGGGAGGCTGAGGCAGGAGAATTACTTGAGGTCGGAGTTCAAGATCAGCCTGGCCAACATTGTAAAACTTCATCTCTACTAAAATTACCAAAAAAAAAAAAAAAAAAAATGTAGCCTGGCATGGTGGCTCATGCCTGTAATCCCACCTACTCAGGAGGCTGAGGCCTGAGAATCACTTGAGCTCAGGAGGTGGAGGTTGCAGTGAGCTGAGATTGCACCACTGCACTCCAGCCTGGGCCACAGAGTGACACTCTGTCTCAAAACAAAACAAAAAGGCTCCTTGATTAAAACTGGATTCCAGCCTCGGTTCCACTGGTCACCATTCAAGTACTTTGCATCTCTAAGTCTCTGTTTCTTTAACTTCAAAAGGAAGTTAGCATTTTCCTTACAGAGGTGCTGAGGATTAAATGAGCTAATACATGGAAAGCACTAGGCCTCTAACATGCTTAGCAGATGGCGGCTGGCTCCCACTGCTTTTCCACCAGTCTGTGGCCTACAGTTTAAATGGTGAAGGAGGGTGTGAGATTTGAGGCTGAGGAAGGAGGCATGGTGTTCTAGGAAAGGGAGGCAGTCACTTAGGCCTGGAGCAAGGAGCCAGGGGCCTGGGAAGACGACAGAGCCCCACAGTGCCCTCACTACCTTATTGATGAGTCCAGAATCTGGAAGCCAGCCTGCCACATGCCCTCACACCCAGGGTCTTCCTGCAGGTGGAGCTGAAGAGCCAAGAGGCTCAGAGTCTGCAGCAGCAGCCAGACCATTACCTGGGTGACCTGCAGCAGTCCGTGGCCACCTATCAGCAGCAGGTGGCCGCCTATCAGCAGCTGACCTCTGAGAAGGAGGCGCTGCACAGGCAGTTCCTGCAGCAGACCCAGCTAATGAACCAGCTGCAGCAGCAGGAAGCTTGGGGCAAAGCGGTGGCCGAGATGGCCCGCCGAAAGTTACAGGAGACCCAGGGGAGGGAGCGGCTGAGGGCGGGGCCATGAGGGGGATGACCTGGCAAACTCCGTGCCTTCTCACTCTTTCCTGGCCCCTTAGGAGCACCTGGAGGCTGCCAGGCAGCAGAATCAGCAGCTGCAGGACCAACTGAGCCTCATGGCTCTCCCTGGGGAAGGTAGGGGAGACCACTCAGAGGAAGAGGACAGAGCCCCAGGAGGAAGGGGGGACTGTTAGCAGCATAGGATTGAGGAGTTGGAAGAGACCTTTAGAACAGCTGGTCATGATGCCAACCGGGTGCCTGCACTAAGTTCGGCATCAATATGGTGACCTCCTGGGAGCGGGGGGGGCACCAAGTTGCCTAAGGATGGCTGAACTGGCCCAGGTCAGAAAGGGAGCAGGTCAGAACTCCAGCACTGACCGGTAGTGGGACTGTGCCTGGGCAGTATAGCAAGATCTTGGGTCTTAAAAATAAAAATAAAGAACAGCAGCTCATTCCTCTCTGGGGAGGGGCTGGCTCAGGGTTACCAGTGAGGGTGGAGGCAGAGTTGGGCCCACAGTACCTCCCTTGTTGGGTTGTCTGAGGAGCCCTCTGGCCACTCCCCACAGGAGATGGAGGAGGATATCTGGACAGTGAGGAGGAGGAGGGACCTCGGCCCATGCCGAGCGTCCCAGAGGACCTGGAGAGCTGGGAGGCCATGGTGAGCCTGACTCCCCCTGCACCCATTTTGCCACCTTCCTCTGTGGTCCCAGCCCCAGGGACTGGAGGCGAGTCTGTGATCGGGGAGCCCCAGCAGGGCCTGCGGACAGTCATGGAGAAGCTGGAGGTGAGTGAGTGCGGGCATGGGCCAAGAAGGGCAGGGGTGGGAAAGGCTGCTACTGAGATGTGACCCCATTATTTTGGCTCCAGGGCAGCCTTACGGACCTCCTGGAGGAGAAGACAGACCTGAGAGAGCGTGTGGAGAAACTAGAAGCTCAATTCATCCACTACTGGAGGGAGAGATGCCATCAGTGAGTGGGAGGTCAGGGCACGGCAGGGGGAGCTGCAGGCCCTCAGAGGGGCCCCAGCGTCTGAGCCCTGTCCTCCCGCAGGAAAATTCGTCACCTTATAAATGAGCCGGGAGGCAGTGTTAAAGATGCAGCACGGGGAGGACATCATCAGGCTGGCCCAGGACAGGGAGGAGAGGAAGGTAGGGTGTGCAACATCTCTGCGGGGGTGGGGTGGGGTGGGGGTGGGCGTGAGGCTGGGTGCTGGCAGCGGTGTGAAGGCCGAGCACCCCTCCCTCCAGGTGACGCTGCTGGCGCTGCAGAAGATGGTGTTGCGGCTTGTGCTGACCACAACAGCGAGCACAGCAAACTCCTGACCTCTTCCCAGAGCCCTGTTGAGGAGCCCGGTCCAGGAGCCCCAGCCCCCCAGGAGACTGGGGATGCCCACAGGCATGGCGGTGAGTAGAGCCCTCAGGCGGGGCGGGCAGGCAGGAGCGGGGTGGGTGGGGGGACGGGCGGGGCTTGCACTGTGCTCAGATCCCCCATTCACTGTCTCCAAATTCCCAACTCACTCTCTCCAAAGATCTTTGTGAGGTGAGCCTCACCGACAGCGAAGAGCCAGCACACGGAGAGGCCACGGAGGGATCTCCCCACAGCAACCCTACTGCACAGACCATCAGGCAGGAGCACCAGGAGCACCCAGGCTTGGGCAGCAACCGCTCTGTGCCCTTCTTTTGCTGGGCTTGGCTGCTGAGAAGGAGGAGATAAACATCACCATCATCAAAGAGCTGCTCAAGACCTTTTTAAAAAAGAAAGTGACGGGGTTAATCTCCTACACAATTCATTTCCTTCATTTGAATGATTATTTGTGTTTCTAATTTATAGTTAAGTTTATTTGTAAAAAGTTAAAAAAAGTGGGTCTCTGCCTTTCACTGAGGTTCACTCTGGCATCCTTTAGCATTTTTCTGTTTTAATTTCATAATTGTAAGTCATTAGCATGTATATTGAGTTTGCCGTTACGTGGTGGGAGTTCAAACACACAAAGACCCACTGTTTGCACAAAACTGTTCTCACTGGTTTGGAATACGCTGCCTTGCTTTTTCAATGTTATTGCAGCATGTATGTTCATTACAGAATTCAGATAAAATTTGCTTATGTTCTGCTATTGTTTGATCTAATCTTAATCACAGTGAGCTCTTCATTAGCTCAATATGTGGTTTACCTCCAAGTGTCACTGTTGATTACTTTGTAATATGCCACCGTGAGTGTCTGGATGGAGGGAGGAGGGAAGCAAAGAACAAAAGGGACTAAGATGGCGTATTTCCGGGTTCTTCATCACCAACTTTCCTGCGCCCAGGGGAAGACACAGGTCAACTGCGCAGGTGCAACCTGATGTCTGACCAAGGAAACGGAAACCTACCTGGCCACACCTACCACAGGGCCCGACCCGCCCATGTCCGGCCTACTGCCTTCCCACTGCCAGGCCCAAGACATAAAGCTGCTCCGGGCAGACAGGCAGCACGAACTTTCTCGGCCCCTCCTCATATGCTGACCCAGGAACTTCGCCCCAGAACGCTGGAGCGACTTCCTTGGCCTCCACCGCCGGAGACCCGTGAACTTCGCCCTTTCTTCTTTTACATTGGCTAGCTAATAAAAGTTTCTTTTTACTTTGCCTACTTGCCTTTTCTCTGGCGCCTGCTGTGGTGGTCGCACAAAACAAATCAGTGAGTACTGACATTAGAGTTGTTTAAAGTCCGAGAACTGGAAACAGCCTTTCCCCCATTTTCTGTGTACTGGTGATGGGAGTAATAACGTTTTGGGGGAGCTTTTTAAATCTCACAGAAGAGGACAGTGGCCTGCTCCCGCAGGTATGTGCGGGATACAGTGTGTTTCCTTTGTTCCGGTGCCAAGAGTGAGCGCTGTACTATGGCAGTTCCCTTAGGATTTGTGTGCGCTCTGGGCTCACGAAGATATTGCAGCACGAGCTGCAGCAGTTGTACTCTTTACCTGTCACCTAAAAAGGGATTATTTCTGAGGAATGAAAGGCTCCCATCATTGACTGTGGATGTGGAAAACATTTCCTAGCTTAGAGAATTTGTATCTGTAATACATTTGAAAATCAGAGTTGATGTTACCTGTTTTAATCACATGACTACATGTCCCAGTTCACAAAAGGGTGCTGGCTGGCATTCTTCTTAATGTATTTAGTAAAGATCATAAGAAATCGTTTGAGTTTAAATGTCCCTGGAACAGGCATACAGGCTCTAGTCAAGAATGAATTAAAGGAAAGCCGTGTGACACCTGGCATTCTTCTCTGTTCACGGAGCTTCTTTGAGGCTTGAAGATTGATTTTACCATCTAGACCTCCTGGCTAATACCTATTCTTCAAACACCTTGGTTACTCATAGGAATTTACTTCTTTTCCTTGAATGGAAAACACTTTAAAAATTAATAACATTATTATAAACTAATATATGTGAGAGTACTTAGTTGAAACAAAAAGGAGTTTTAGTAGACAGTATTATACTAGCTTTGAAAATCAAGCAGAAGTTTATGCAACTTAAAATGTTTACAAACTGCAGTGCAATCTACTGTTTGTGAATGTCAGTGTATTATCAGGAAACGTGTCTATACAATCACAGGTATATTTCCTCACAAACTACGAAGCATGAAATATGTTTTTGTACCTGTTGGTTTCAGTTAGGGACATATTTTGTGCACTATTTATGTGATTGTGTCTATGCATGAGGAATGAATGAATTTCAGTCACACATTCCCTAAATCATAACTTGATGGTGCTTGGGAAAGAACAGTTAAAACCTCATGAAGTTCTAATGTCTCTTCAAAACACATCACAGTATTAGGATGTAGGAGGATATGTACATGTGCTCCCTGGGGTGGGGATTTCTAGTTACTAGACCATCTCCATTTTTAGCATTTGGCATCCTCATGATACTTTTATAAATATGACGTTAACAGAAGAGCAACAATATGATTTTACCGATGGAATAACAGATTTGCCTGCATTCACTGAAAGACTGTAAATATTGGGTCCTTGTGACTTCAACTGACTCTTCCAAATTGTATGAATGTATCAATACATTTGATAAACCCAGGTGCAGAATGATAAAGAAAAAATGTTAGACCCAATAATGTGGCTAATTAGCACTGGTCCAATTTCTAGCCCATGGATTTAAAATGGACTCACAGTCCTGTTCCTGCCTTTTATTTTCTGAACTTGCCGCTTTTGCATTCTCTTGAGTTCAGTTTAAAGACAGTTACTAGCATCTGTGACCAATCTGACAATAATGTGTTCCTCAGCTGCCTATGGATTAATCACACACTGGCATATTTCAGCTGAATGTCCGTCTGGAAAATAAATTGACTAGATTAACTGAAATTCCACTCTTTGTGTAGGTATTTGGCATATATTTAAGAAAAAGCTAAAAAGAATGGAAATCGTAGGACAGGAACTTAAGTCTTTCTTCAAAGTGCACACAGTCTTTTGGATACCTCATTCAGCCAAGTATTTGTGCTCTTCCTCATTCAGTAGAAGGCAGCTTTCAATTTGCTTAGAAGGCAACATTGGAAGGTTAGAGTTCATCAGAAACATAGAATTTTAAAATGTGAGTTCAACTGAATAAATCTGAATTTCTGTAGGAAGAATCAAAACACCTATTTAAAGATTGTAATATATAATAATCATTTTAAAGTATTTGATTAAATCTGATAGGTTTTCCAGAAAGGAAAAAAAAAATCAGCTCTAAAACCAAAGCTGATTTTTAGAAAATTTGAAAACATAAACCAGCCCTATCTATAATATAATTTCTCTAAAACTTTATCTTAGTCATTTAAAAATAATATAACTATTAAAAAATACAACTGCTATCTTAATGTTCTGAAATAAGTTAAAACATTTTAAAATATGAATACTGTAGCTTCAAAGAAAGAAATGGTGGGACGGAAAAGTAGAGAAAGAAATGCCAATTCCAGTCCAAAGCTTTATTTGCCAAGTTTTCTTAGAATGAATTTTACCAGTTTATGAATTCTTGTAAACAGAATGTATAATGGAAATACTGAAAGACTTTTGCCTAAAGTGGCATTATTGTCTGCTGGTGTGATGCTACTGTAATGTAATAAATTCTTAAGTTGTTGCAAAGTGCTGTTTTTGCCTTAAAATTTTCTTTTGTGTGTCTTGAAAACTGTAGTATTAAAGGTACTGATAGTGTGCAAATGCTGGGCATGCTTGACATGAGATAATCGGTTTCATTTTTACAAAATTGCAATATAACTATGCAAGTGTTTATTAAAAGAAAAAAATAAGAAAGTTACAGGATTAAAAGAAATTATGGGGTGAAAGTTATGGGATTAAAAAATGTAAAAAAATTGTGACCAAAAAACTTCTGGCAAAACAAGTAGAAAAAAGTTTTATGAAAAATTACCAAAACAAGTTACGAAGAAGAAGTTAACAGGATTTTTAAAAAAGTCATGGGATAAAAATAAAAATGAAAAGCAGGCTCCTGTCAGAAAAGCCTGGAGAAGCTGGGCTGGAGTCTCCACCGCCACCATGTCCCTGCCACCCCTTCCCAGTCACCCCTTTACAATTAGGGTAGCAAGACAAGACCTCTGTCTAATGGGGAAAGACAAACAGACCCTTTGCCACCTTGACCAGGGCTGAGTCTTTAAATTTCTGGATGATGATGATGATTGTTATTTAAAAGCCAGAGGCTGGTGGAGTTGGTTTGTTTGGAGGAGGCCTGATGGCCTCCTTTCTCTCACCATAGCAACTTTTCCCTCAGCGGGGCTCCCAGCTTCTTACTCAGAGAGGTAGTGAAAGGAGCTGGGCGCATTCCTCAGCCCCGGGCTCAAGACTCCCTGAGCCTAGTACAAACACATTCCATCCTCCCATCCCACCACATATCGCCATATCTCTCTCAAACTCCCTGAGCCCAGTATAAACACCACCTGGAAAGCCTCCGATAAGGAGACAGCCGTTCAAGGTTCCACTGAAAGCGCGGGAGCCAAAAGAATTTCTTTGTTCCCCTGTAACTTTCGGGCTATAAAAAGCAAACGCTCGCATTGTTCGAGGCCCTCTCTTGTATGCTGTAGAATGGAGGGACCAGGTTCGAACTTGTAATAAAGATCCTTGCCGCTTGGCTTTGACATTGGACTCTGGTGGTCTTCTTTGGGGAACAAACGGTCTGGGCATAACAGTAGCTGAGGCAGGACAGTGGGGCTAACTGTGGACCAGGCGAGGGCACGGGCTGCTGGGGGGGGCCCCCTTCCCTGGTGTACATACTGTGTCTGTGTAACGTTTTGTAGATTCCAGAGGGTAGGGCCGCCTCTGTATCGTACCTAGCAGAGGTTGAAGCTGGCACATGGGGAGGAGGTTCTAATAATTATTTGTGGCTGGGAAACTTATTTATTGCTAGCATAGGACAGAGGAAGGAGGCGTGGATGGGGTTGTGGCTCCCTGGTGGTGTGATCACAGCTCACTGCAACTTCCACCTCTCATGCTCAAGTGATCCTCCCACCTCAGCCTCCCAGGTAGCTGGGAGTATAAGCATGCACTACTATGCCTGGCTAGTTTTTAAATTTTTTTGTAGAGAAAAGATCTTGCTATGTTGCCCATGCTGGTCTTGAACTCCTGGCCTGAAGCGATTCTCCCATCTTGACCTCCCAAAGCACTGGGATTACAGGCATGAGACATTGCTCCGGTCCATAAGGTTTTCTCTTTATTACTGTGTTGTTGTTGTTGTTGTTGTTGTTGTTGAGAGAGTCTTGGTCTGTTTCCGAGACTGGAGTGCAGTGGTGCAATCTCAGCTCACTGCAACCTCCGCCTCCTGGTTCAAGCAATTCTCATGCCTGTAGCCTCCTGGGTTACAGTATGAGCCACTGCACCTGGCTAATTTTTGAATATTTAGTAGAGACAGAGTTTTGCCGTGTTGGCCAGACTGGTCTCCAACTCCTGGCCTCAAGCAATCCGCCCTCCTCAGCCTCCCAAAGTGCTGGGATTACATGTGTGGGCCACTGCTCCTAGCTAAGAACCCGTCTCTGTTTAAATAAAAGAAGAAAATTCAGAATATGTGGAATACAGAACACCAAAGGCCAAAGTTATTTACCTCCCTGAGGTAATCTGTGTAAACAATTTGATATATATCAAGTTCCTACTTGCTATGCATATATATATACATATACACAAGTATACGTTGACACATTCCCCCTTCCCTGCTGTCGTGCTATTAGTCTGTGTTTTGTAGAAAGTGGACAACTCTATGTTCTTTGCTGGCCTGTATTTCTCCTATTCAGTGATGTGTTACGAATATGTGTTTAAGTCAATTTATGCAACTCTTTAATACCATTTTAAAAGGTTATGATACACGATCATATGAAGGTATTACAATTTATTCCAACATTTACCTTTTGCACGTTTAATAATTTCCATTGATTTGCCAGGGTGAACACTCTCATGTCACGGCTGAATCCTTTTGTATAGACATCCTCAATTATTCTCTTAAGTTAAACGTTTAAATAAACTTGCTAGATTAGTCTCATTTCTTAAAAAGTTCTTAATTGGTAGTTTATATGTAACATTGTAGTTTTATATGTACTTGCAAATAGCTATAGTTCCTGTAAAAAAAGTGATAAAATTAAACTTTAACATATGCCAAAA